AAAAACGCGCCTGATTTAAATGTCACACCTGAACGCTCACATCCTTTTAATTATGTTTGAAATTATGAACATTGCTCAACATCATGAAAATTAAACCTTATTTTCAATAAGCAATCCTGAAAAATATTTGGGGGTGCTTAACTTTTTCCAGGTGTATATATTATTGCACAAACAATGAATAGTGACTTTAACCTGAAAGAAAGTGTTTCTTTATACGTTAGATAATGGCTTTAATTCACAAGAAAATTATTGATAAAACAATAGATTGCGCCTTTAACTTATAAGAAAATTACTGGTAAAAATGGTCACTTTTAAAATCGTATCAATCTTTGAAGATTAGTCCTAATTTCGTTAAGACAGTAGAAAGAAAAATAAATTTTGCTTCTTTGTTCTTACACTAGTGAGACAATGGGTAATAATTTTACTAGTTTTCAGAATAATAGTTTGTTATTTTTTTTACCTTTTATGAGACAATGGGTAGCAAATTTAACCTGAGAGAAATTTCCAGTTCCGAGTTCTCCTTGAATTTGATAAAAACCTATTCTTCGTCCTAACGCAATGTCTTTCTGCCAGCGTTCATTATAGTTGAGATTTCTGAGGATTCGCTGATATGGTGTCATGTCTGATTTACCCAAATAATTGCTACCTGAACTTCCAACTGTGTCTGTACTTCCTGTGCTGGACATGGTGGCCTGAAAAGTAGAGTTTGGCCACTGGTCGTTCACTGGGGATATCTTAGCTGCTGGCATACCCGGTCAGTCTTAAATAAAAGGAAAGCATGGTAATATAATATAATTACATAAACACGTATATTTAATTTGGTTTAAAAAACTAGACTTGACTAACCTGTAAGTTTAAACTCGAGATTTAAATGCACCTTGCTTATTTAATAGCGTAAAGTGATATTTTGTTAAGAAGTATTTCTTAAAAACAAGTAAATAAAAACATTGCTCAGCTTATGAGCCGAAAAGAAAAAGTGTGATAATCAGCATCTAAGAACAAACTTGAACAATTGGCATATGTTACAATAACTTTGGTTGCCTAATAATTATAAAAATAGTTGATTAATTGAGGCTATTTCTTGCTTAATTTAAAAAGACATAAGTAAAATTTAATGCATGATTTTTCTATGTTAGAATGCAATTTTAAAGCTGTTTTGCAAGTGTATTGACGTTTTATATAATTCAGCGTATTTTTAATCAAATAAATCAATTAGTTAATAATTTATTTATGTCATATTTAATTTAACCAAAATAGCAGAGAAGTATGCTAATTGAAAAAAACAACAACAACAAATACTTGTCATTATTTAAGACATATACGTGATAGAGAAATGTTACGGTGTGTACGCCTTTTATTAGATAGGAAAGCAAAAACACAATTATACTTGTCATAAGCCGTTAATATTAGGCCTATTATATTTTGAAACACTACATTCTATAGCTAAAAGTTCAGAAAAACCCTAAGGGACTAGATAAAAAAAAATGTAGTATTTAAAAATGTAATACGCCTAATACTAATGGCTTATGACAAGTATAAATTATAGAGAATGCTTAAAATGAAAACTGAAAATTTTTTATTCTTAGAAAAAGATGATTAAGCACCACATTAGGTTGATTTAATTTTTTTCTTACGAAATACTTTGTTTACCATTAAGGATTTCTGAACAGGTCGTGACTAAAGCTATTAGGTATTTATTATTTATCTTCTTCGGGTCACTGATAGAAGATCTTATTCGGTATCAGAAATTGTCAACTGAAATGGATCTATCATGGTCAAAAGTACTACTATCTGTAATGTCGTTTGCATGCAGTTTTGTATTAGCGTGTCAATTATTTGGTGGTAATTGCGTAATTTGTCGAAGATTCTAAATGATGTGAATCCAACTAGTGAGTTTCGTCATTGATAAAAGTGAGTACAAACTTAAAGATGGGTTTGAAGTGCTTAAGATGCTCATTTCTGCTCAGAAATTCATATTGGATTGTTTAAAAAACATTAGCAGCCTAACGTTATTTTTTTTATCACTTTTCTAAATTCTAAGAACATTTTTACTTTTCAACGTTTGTCATTAACAGCTGCAAACAAAACGTATCATTTCAATAAACTATATAGGGATGCTAACAACTTACATGAGTTTTGTAAGTCTAGAGGTCAAATTAATGAAAGTTCCTCACGCAGCCATATTCTGTGAAAACCCCAGTTAATAATTACAAAACTGTACAACGTTTACAGAAATTTATGGAATGACTTCCATCCAAATATTTTAACACAGACATACCTGTATATATAAAAAAGAAATGTGGGTTTAGTTGCACCGTAACTTCTCAGTCTAATGGGCCAATCTCAACCAAAATTTTTATGTAGACACTATGAACTGTGGGGAATATCCTAAGGGGGGAGGTCAAAATTGAACTTAACTCTATTTCTATTTTCTAAAGCCTGCTGGTTAGTTACTTCCAGTCTATTGAGTCAATCTCAAACGATCTTAGCATGTTGACACTTTAGAAAATGTTGAATATTCTAAAGGAATTCAAGGTCAAAGTATGAAAGTCGCTGGATTGTTTCTCAAACAACCATGCTTTTCTCACGATCAATGAGATGTAGGGTGTTCACCTCAAAATCTTTGGTAGATTTGTTGGTAGATGGAAAGCAAACTGCAAATGTTGTTTATGAAGAAGCTTTGTTATAATTTTAAAATTTTGAGATAAAGTTTAGGTTCAAGGTATTACTTTGAAATATATGATTGCTGTTAAACTTACATTGTTTTAATTAACTTTAAACATTCCTCGTCAGTTAACGGATATTTCAGCTTGTTATTTATAAAATGAGGCCAAAATTGAAAGATATATATATATATATATAGAAAAATATAGAGAATGAAAAATAAATGTTTTTTAGAAGTAATTTTGTCATTTTAATAAATTGAAAAAGTAAAGAAATGACTTCATTAAACAAAGAGCAAAATGCTTTATTTAAGAGCAGAGAAAGACAGCTTCCAGGGTAAATATATTAGAACATACTAGGGGAGCTATGTTCTACATGAGTGAAGAAACTCTTGTTTACTAGGAGAGCCATGTACTTCACAAGTTGGTAGGTCTTTCAATGCTATATGTTCATTTCCTCAGTTTAATTTGCATGAGTGTGTTGCCTTACTTTGTCCATACAGGTATTTAAGGTTAAAGAGATGTGGGATCACGAAATTTGGCCTTTTTGACGATGTCTGAAAAAACAACGAATGGGTCAAAGGTCATCATAAGCATTAGTATCGTACACGTGACGAATGATCAAACGTAATCTAAGTAAACTTGGTATTCGAATTTGTTTAGTATACGTATATGTATTATCTTTTGAACATGTAAGTAAAACCAATAAACCTCAGGCGTTACTTAAAAGACATAAAACGCGGATCAGTTGAAGTTATTGCATGCTTTTCAAGAACAATTACAGAAATTTCTATTAGAAGTTACTGTGAAATCAGTGTTATAGCATTTTCTCACAGATACTTCAAATTGCAGTGCGGGTAAAAATAACATTCCAATCCTTATATAAACTTGGGTGTTTGTGTAACTTTCAGGTCTTTATATATATATATATATATACTATAGACTGCATTTGTTTCATAGCTTTAAAAAACCTCTCTTCTATATTGTATTGCACAATATTAAAACAAAGTTAAACTCATCAAGCCCCATAGCTATAAAAAACATACCTTCTATATTGTATTGCACAATTTTATAACAAAGTTAAACTCATTAAGCCTCATAGCTTTAAAACAACCTCTCTTCTATATTGTATTGCACAATATTAAAACAAAGTTAAACTCATTAAACCTCATAGCTATATAAAAAGTACCTTCTATATTGTATTGCACAATAATATAAAAAAGTTAAATTCATTAAGCCTCATAGCTTTAAAAACATACCTTCTATATTTTCTTGCACAATAATATAAAAAAGTTAAATTCATTAAGCCTTATAGCTTTAAAAAAACTACCTTCTATATTGTATTGCACAATATAGTTATCTTAGGTTTCACGTAAAATCTAATACTCTGAATTCTTGATTAAAACATTTGGTAAGAACTTCTTACATAAAATGCTATTCATTCCATCTTACCCTTACATAAAATTTGTCCCGGCAGAAAACATACATATCATTAGCTATTAGTTTTCCATTATTGAAACATATGTTTCAGTTACGTTTTAAACATTATAGTTGGATTGCCAAGGGTCATTATCTCTGATCAAATCAAAACAGAAACAGTTAAATACAACTTTAATAATGCCAAACGGGGTTTTCTACCAGGATTAGGTTGTAAACCCAAGTTAAGGATCTAAATTCTATTAAGCGTAAAACTACACAGTGGACTATCTGAGCTATGCCCATTTAGTATAATAATCCTTCAAGCTTACCACTATCAAGTACACAAAAAATTGAAACGTTACTCATGAGGCTTTCAAGTCAAACAGCTAATTCCATTTAAAGGTAATGATTTCTGTCAATGTTCAATATATTTTTAAATTATAAATACCATGTGTCTTTATTGTTTTTTAACAGGTATAAAATTGCTACACACTTAAATATATTTCTCTTGGTATATTTTAAATTTTTCACATTTATATCATTATTCTTAATGATTAATATAACATTAAACTCACCTATAACTAATATAAACTTCAGTTAAAGATTAATATAACATTAATCTCACCTATAACTAATATAAACTTCAGTTAAAGATTAATATAACAGTAATCTCACATATAACTAATATAAGCTCCAGATATGATCAAGAACAATTACACAGATATTGAGAATTTCTTTTCCTTTATCCTGATTTACAATGTTAATAATCCAGAGGGATTGGGGACTGTTCAGTAAAATCCATGAGTTCGATAAAAACAGTCTTGAACTTTATTATAAAAACAACTTACATTAACAGCCGTCTCAAACAAGAGAAAAAGGTGAGAGAAAGTAAGAGAAATAAAAAAAAAAGATAGAGTATTTTGTATTAGAGCCTATCTTTCAAACTAAGGTGGGCGTATAATTGTTTTACACATATTTTAGTATCTGCTTCAATAATAATCGACCAAAATTTGTTTGCGTAATGAAACTTGTACTTGCTAGTGTCTATGTGTGATGATGGCACTTTTATGAATGAACCTAATACGAGTTACCTGCAAGTGACCTACTTTACTAAGTGTACACTATTGTGTTAAAGCTAAGTACCACAGAGGGCGTCTTGCAGGACATCATTAACAGCTGCAACTAACTTAAATCATTCATTTCCTAGAACACCAAATAATCTACTTTTGCACATGTTTTTTTCATCTCTAAAGTGAAGCACTCTAATTAAAGCTCTGAAGTGTATCAAACGCTCGAGGTGTTTGGATATTAGTCATTCAAGTGTGCCGAGGTCTTCTACACCCTTAGAAAAAACGGGTGTGATTCCAACAAACACACCTTTTGTAGCAGACAAGGTGCGATTTCACATTCTCAAAAGGTTTAAATTTAGCGCACTCTTGCTATAAGCGTTAGGATGTGAAATTATAAACAAATTGGAAAGTCATGTAAGTCGTATATGAAATAAAATGTATTTTTTTAAGAAAATAACTTTGATTTAGATAGTTTCATTATAGCTATGAAATTCTATGAACATAATTTTTTTAGACGACAGCAACTCTTTAAAAATGTAAATATCCACAAGTAAGTTTATTTATATGGAGTAAGACTTCCTAAAAATATTACTGTTTAATGTTTCGTA